GAATATGGAACCTCAATTTGATAATGTTTAACTATGTACCAGTTGTTTCTTTCTACCTAGTGTTTACACTCCTTCAAAACCTAAAGCAAGGTTTGGGTACACCACTCTCTGAACTACATAAGGTAAAAAAAGGATTTTTAATTGTCTTGTGTTTTCTATAAGGTTTACTTGGAAACTTATGAAACACAGTATGTACATGAGTAATATTAATTTATTACATTATATATATAATTTAGATTCCATGTTCTTTTAATAACATGATGCTACACACTATGTTCTTCTGAGTCAAACTACCATCTTCATGACTTCAGCTTAAGTATCTAATTAAAGGCGGAGGGTTAAACAGGGTCATAGGACCCTCACATGAGTATCCAGCTGCCCTTCCCACCCAACTGTATGTAATTTGGCCTTAATCATACATGGTCTCCTGGGTTTGGGGAGGACTAAAGTGTATTATCTGGGGAAGGCTAGGAAGAGAAGGCTTGATCCATGCTGGGTTAAGGCTTTCCAGTGTAGATACTCTCAGGTCACTCATATACCTCAGCAACCCCTCAGTCATCTCTGTAACTAAGCTCAATAAATTCATTGGTTCCCCAGAAAAACTTTAATGTAATCAAACATGGAGGCATTTTGTTAAAAATAAAAAAGCCTAAGCAAGTGATGGAGGTCTATGTAGGTTTGTTATGATTTATCGAGCATGAAAAAAAAAGATCTTAAAATTTCTAAGCTCATAGCTTAGTCAACTAGTTTAAGGATGTCTCATCAAGGTTTACTTAAAAATGTTTGGGTTTTTGCCTGAGCTCTATCTACACAGCACATGATAATTAATGTACCAGACTGGTTTAACTAACCTTGTTGGATGTTTAATAGCCAGACTTTGAGGCCTATACTGATCTGGTCAGAGGGACTTAAAGGGACAATTTTTTGTTCCTTGCCCTCCAAGGTTAAACAAGTTCCAGGAGCTATGGAGGATCTCTCAAAAACATGTCTTGTAACTTTGGTGAGTCACCTGTCCTCTTGTTCAGAGAGGCCATG